AGGGGATGGAGGCCTTGGGGGGATGAAGGCTTCTGATGGGGATGGGAAGCGAGATGGGGGGAGATGGGGAATCTGGGGACTTTCCTTCAGGGCATGGCTGAGGCTGCCTCCCCGCATGGCCGCCCCGTATACCCAGCCTGCCTGCGGCCGTCACGAGGACAGACGTATCATCAGTGACGCAGGGGTGAGGGTCTCAGTCCCTGAGGACCCCTCAGTGGCACTGAATCTGAAGGCAGGGCTCCTTCCCTGCAGCTGGGTGTCCTCATGCGTGTCTCTCCCCCCCCCGCCCCAGATCTCCACAAACGTCAGGCCCTCGTGCCTCGGCCCTCAGGGTGACCTTCATGTCCCTTCATGTCCCCCTGTGTCCCTGTCTGGGCTCCCCAAGCTCCTCACAGCAGGGACCGGGTTTATGACCCTTGGCCATGAGGGTCTTGCCTGCCTGCACGTCCCCAGGGGAGCAGTGGGTCAGGGGAGCCGCTGCTTACCTTGTGCCCGTAGATCGTGGGCATCTGTCACCAGGCTCATGTTTTCTCTTTCAGTTTTTGTTTTTAAACTTTGTATCAGGAGCAAAAACTAGAAATGGAAACCAGTTTGTTTCTGCTGTATATTTGAGGGTAAAAGAGATTTTCTTTTCCATAGTGTAAAGAGAGTAGGTGCAGATGAGCTCTGTGTGTGCTGTGTGTGTGTGTGTGTACGTACACGTGTGTGTCCCAGATCTTCAGAGATTAATTCAATCTAATAATTCCCTGGGCCAAGGCGTAATCGATTTTGATGGATCCCAGGGCCGCCTGAAGTCCTCAGTAATGTGATGATGGCCCTGACGTAACGGGATTAAGTCCTGGACAGACCTGCATCCTGTTGTCATTTCCATGTGGGGAAATTAAGACCATTCATCATGACTAACTCTTGCAGGAAGCAGATTTGGGAAGCGCTCATCTGGGTGCCGCGCAGGCAGGCGGGGTGCATGCGGGGCGGGCCAGGCAGCACAGCACGGCCAGCATTTGGCTGAGTGGCGGGCGGAATGGGGGGCAGAATGTGAAACATTTTCCTCGAGGAAGGAAACTTAAAACCCAGCTCGGCCCCTGTGGCATTTATGAAAAGCGCACTAACTTGTGTAGGGCCCGCGCCGCCCTGACTCACGGGGTCCCTCTGCTCTTAGGGGGGCGCGTGAAAACCTGGAAGCGGCGCTGGTTCATCCTCACCGACAACTGCCTTTATTACTTTGAATACACGACGGTAAGTGCAGGGCAAGTGTGGGGCTGCCGGTCCTCCGCGTCCCGTCGCGGGACCCTCCGCGGGTGCCGGGGGAGGCTGGCTGAGCGCTCTCCTCCCGCAGGATAAGGAGCCCCGGGGAATCATCCCGCTGGAGAACCTGAGCATCCGGGAGGTGGAAGACCCGCGGAAACCCGTAAGCTGGCTTCCCTGCCCCCCGCCCTCCCTCCCCTCCCCTCCCCTCCCCTCCCCCCCGGCGCCGGGTGACTGTCGTGTCTGTCTCCACCAGAACTGTTTCGAGCTTTATAACCCGAGCCACAAAGGGCAGGTCATCAAAGCCTGTAAGACGGAGGCGGACGGCCGGGTGGTGGAGGGCAACCACGTGGTGTACCGCATCTCGGCGCCCAGCCCCGAGGAGAAGGAGGAGTGGATGAAGTCCATCCGGTGCGCCCCCGGGCCAGCGGGGGCGGGGCCGGAGGGCGGGGCCCGGGGCTGTGGGTGGGTCACATGGGGGTGGGGGCAGAGGGGGCGGGGCCGCGCGGGGGAGGACCGGCCCTCCTCGCCTAACCGAGTTTCTTTCTCATTTTTCCCCCAGAGCGAGTATCAGCAGGGATCCTTTCTATGACATGTTGGCCACGAGGAAAAGGAGGATTGCCAATAAGAAATAGAGCTTTCCTGGCCTGAGCAGCAGGTAAAAGTGAACTCAAACCCCGCAGCAAAGAGTGCCTGGGGGCCTCCCCGCAACACCCTGGACCCACGGCCTGGCTCCTCAGGGACGGCGGCCCCCGCTGGTCTCGAGGGGCCTCACGTCGTCCCTTCCCGCTGCCCTCCCGGCGCCGAGCGCATCCTTCTCGAAGTCTCGTCCAGCAGCTGCGCCTGGTGGTTCATACGTGAAAATCCGCGTGGCAGACGCGGGGTCACACGTGTTCCTTTGTGGCGGTGTTCGCCATTCTGGAAGCTGCTGTTTTGTATCATAACAGGAAAGGAAAAGCTACCAGTTTTTTATTGTTTTTTTCCTCAGATATATAGGATTATAGCTTTTATATGCCTTTTTATATTCTCAAATTATAATGAAAGATACTTTCTAACAGTAGTATTTTTAGAATGGCAGCTATAAATTTAACTTCTGGACACAAGAATATACTGTGCACTGAGAACAATTACATGTGTACACGTATGCAGTCCCCGGGGGGCTGGGGGGGCGCCCCGCCCATGGGGGGCGCCCAGGGGAGCTCCTGGTGGAGGGAGGCGCACGTGTCCTTGACAGCCAGCACTGGGCGGGGCGGGGCGGAGTCCAGTCCTCTGGGACCGTTCAGCTCAGACTTTGTGGTCCCACAGATACTTTCTAAAGAGGCAAATTGTTAAAATATAAATTTCGGTTTGGGGCATTTGTCCTGTAACTTCTGAATCCCAGGATAGACAGCGTATATGTTGGACCACATGAAACTTCTCATGTTTGACCGTTTCTGACGCCCACAAACAGCAGTGTCCTGTGGTCCAGCTGAATACGTGGTTCAGACCAGCTGTGACCACTGTCTTCACTACTTGTTGGCAAAACGAATGCTTAGAATAATTTGACCACATTTCTTAACGTAATGAGTAGACCTATAAGGAGATAGGGATAACCTTATTCCATGTTTTCAGAGATTTGATCTTTCGTTATGGGGAGGGAAAAGAGCAGGCGGCGGGGTGGGGATGAAGAAGTGGAGCGCTTAGGCTTTTCTGTAAATAGTTTAAAACCCCAAACGTGCACTGGTGACGGGACTGCTGAAGATCGCCGACCAGGAGGTTGTCAGGTTGCTGGTGGCTGAATGAGAGAGAGGTGCTCAGTCGTGTGCTGAGGGCAGGCTGGAGCTGGGCCCCAGCACGTCGCAGAACTGGCCCAAGGGTGCACAGGTGGGCCGGCCGAGAGGCGCTGGGTGCTGGGACATTTGGGGCTGGTGACAGATGCCTTTTTATTGGGAGCTTTATTTCCGCCGCCAGGACCCCTGCATGTACTACATAGGACCCCCTTGCCCACAGGGGCCGTTCCAGTGGAGGGTCCCTCCCCTGCAGGACCTCCTTTCCCTGCGCCAGCCGCGAAAGCACTCCCTCCGCTTGCACACTTGAGAGGTCATCACCTCTCCTGTGCAAAAGCAGAGTCCGAGAGTGGCAACCGCAGGCTGTACGCACTTACGTGGAGATGTAAAGAGCAGAAGGAACCGTTCCTGGGAGCTGCCTTGATGCTGAGACTGAACGGCTATGGGCCTTTGGCCTCGGTGCAGCTGACCTTGTAGCGCTAAGTCACACCAGACTGCGAAAGGGTCTGCACCCAGGACTCTCCAACATGCATCAAACTGATTTTTTTGGTTCATTCCCAAGCTTTTAGGCTTTGCTACTGTACTGATACCTCAGATTGGACCCTGTAGTTTTGAGAAAGGCAAGTCAGCATTCCTGAAGCGCGTGACTGGCGTATATGCAACTCTGGCCCCAGTCTTCCGTGAAAAGGGACGCTGCCCAGACCACCAGACCAAACACTGCTGACGACGACCTGGCAGCGCCCTCCCCTCGGGCTGGCCCTGTGCCCGGGCTGCTTGGGGCGCGGGCTCCATCAGGATTTTGTGTGGAATAACCTGTCTCTCCTTTGTCTGACCCAGGTAGGACCCTGGGGACACAGGGCTTTCTGTCTTTCGGGTGTGCCTCAGGGTGGGGCTGGGAGAAGTGAGCATAAGGAAACACCTGGAAGAAATCTGTTCCTCTGGCCACCTGTGAAGGAGCCTTGCCTGAGGCCTGTTTGCCCAGAACGATGCAGAAGGCCATGGTGCTCAGAATCTGTGTCACTTGCCCTCGGGAGTATTACGTGAAATCGTGTAACTCCAGGTTTTGTGTGACAGTGTTAACCTGACGGGGCTGTGGGGTGGGGCCCGGCTGCCTGGACCTCAGCGTGGTCCCCCGTTCATCCCCCTCCCCACCCCCCTGTCTGCGCTCAGTGCTTGAATTGTCAGTCCCAACTCTGGCCAAAGAGCTCTCCTCCAGAGACGGAGGGCAGGAGGCAGGGAAGGGGGTCGCTGGGCGGGAGACGGCGGCTTACATGGCCCCACCAGCCCCCACTAACATGTGGGGTTTAATTGGCCCACCCTGGACCCAGACAAGCAAGTGTCTTCAGGATCACGGAACAGTGTTGAGCAGTTTAATGTGGTACCAGGTTGAGTCCAAATAGGAGCTGTTTATAGATGAAGCAGCATTTAATGCTGCATATAAAGCAATGCATATTTTTCAAGTTAAAATGCATATATCTACATAGATGTGCTTTGCTGAGAAGTTAGGTCTGTTGTAGACCAGAAACCACACATTGTGATTTCTTGTTTTATTTTTTTCTTAGAAAACATTTCTATTTACAGTAAATAGAGTTAATATGTAAATAATGTACATATATAATATGACTTCTGGAGTGTTATTCAGTGTATATACTCCAACTTGCATGAAGAAATACTCTATATCTATTACTGATATTTTGTTGTAAAGTGGATGGTGAAGTTGGAGAGTGAATGGCTGTCAAATTGCAAATACTGTGTTGGTTAAATAAAGACGCACTGTTAAAACAAGATTGCCTGTGACTGGGTTCTTTAAAGTAGGGAGGCTGTCGGGTCCAGCAGCCCACACCTGACTCTCCCTCACCCATTTGGGGTCTGCACCTCCCAGTCTGGGACTGACAGCCCGTGGCTTGAGCTTTCGAGGTTTTAGGAAAGTGAAGGCAAAGAGAAAGAAGTCCAAGAGAAGTGTCTGTAAGCAAATGGGGAAAACAGCAGTAAAAAATGACACGAAAGGTTTAATTTGCTGCCATTTATATACTATATAAATTTTACATGCTGTATATTTACAGTGGGGCAAGTGCTTTTTTAATCTTTAAAAAAACAAAGATCAAACTTTAGACGTCTCTGAACAACACAAACTGTATAAACCATACAGATTATTCAGATACAAACTGTATTAAATACAGTTTTCCCCACTCCAACTCCTGATGCAGGACCAGTGAATTATAAGTGTATCACAGTTTGATAGCATATCCATATTAAAAATAAAATCACAGTATGATTTTTGTCTGTAACTAGAAACTTTAAGGGACCAAGCTGACAACTCAGACTCCAATATCATAGTCAAGACAAGAGACACTGTATAAAAAAGTGTTATGTAATAAAAACATACTGTAGGCCTTACAAATAATGTTCCGATTATACATTCATAATGTAAATACTCATCATAACTGGTAAATTGATTGGAATAGTTCCACAAAGTTCAAAAACAGAACTTGTCTATAAAATCTTCAAATCTTGAATACAACTAAAATATGAAGCAAATTAGTTTCTAGTATCAGACATTACAGAAAACAGACTGCTCTCAAAAGTCTAGTTGAGAGCTTGTGAATCTTTAAATAAGTTTTTAAATTAAATATACACACTGTCAGTTTGTACTTTTAATAATTCCATGGTTTCCCGGTTGGTCTTGCACCGGATGTCTAACTTGGAGGAGCATTACATGGAATACGAGTGATCAACCTGAGTCTGTGATTAAGCAGCATTTGAGATGTTCTAGTCCAGGGCGTTATTTTCAATGTGGTTTATATACACAGTATTTTACAATGGTCAGCAGTTGTAGAAAGTGTTCACCCATTTGGAATAAGGGTAATTAAGAAAAGGTAAAAACTAAAAAAAAAAGTCCTCCATGGTAAAATCTATACACTATTTACACTAAAGAAGCACCACGCAGATTTCAAGTTATTTTCTCTATTTGTAATTTAATGTGGGTTGGGGATGGCTTCTGTTGAACACGTTGAATCTGAAAGACAAGAGGCAGCGGGCGTTAGTTGGTCCAGAGGCAGGAAGTGGGAGCCCAGCGCCCCGTGAGCCCCGGGCGGGACTTCTCTTCTTCATTCACGCCCTCGCCTTAGCAGGCGCCCCCAGGTCTCTGGGGGGAGCCCACCTGCCTCCCCGCGGGCGGTGAAGGAGCCGGCGGTGGCGCGGAGGCCTGCGCGGAGGGCGCCCTCTGCTGGGCGCGGTCCCGCCAGCCCGGCCGCCGCGGAGCCGCCGCAACCCGGCGATTCCCTTGCTCTAGGTAGGAAGAGGCTAATTCCTTAATGCAGCTCCGGTCTTCCCATTGATGACACGCTGTAAAGCGTGTTAATCAACTGCAAGTTAATCTCCTGCAGACAGTTCACTTAAACCCCCCTTGCCGACTACCAGAAGTTACACGTTTGGACAAAATTCCCTCCGGAGAGCAACCCTGCAGCTGCAGCGCGCCCAGGACACCAACCCCACCTCCCGGGGCCACTGAGTACGAGGCCAGGAGGAAACGACACTCCAGGTTTTGATTTGCTGTAAAAAAGCACCCAAAACCCATTCCGATCAAACCAAGCCTGAGCCCTTTCGGTGCGCGGGGCGGGCGGCGGGCACGGGAAGGGCTCCCCTCTCTCGGCCCCTCAGGTGGGGCTGCGAGAGGACATGGCTTCTCCATCTTTCAAATGTTTATCAAATGACTTGATTCTGAAGCTTCTGACCTGGCCTCACTTTCTCACAACGAGGGAGGGAGGGAGGGAGCAGAGCGACTCTCTGACTTAAGGGGCCCAAATCCACCCCCACCACACAAGGACTGACTCCCCACCTGCTACCCCCGAAGCTGAGTCCCAAAGCTCCCTCCTCAGGGCCCCTCAGCGGCTCTACAAACAAACAGGAAGAACATAGACGAAAAGAGCTTACCGTAACCAGTGAATTTTTTGTCTTGAAGCCACGTTTTCAATCACCTAGAAAGCAAAGGTTAGGAAACATTTTAATGATGGTTTTGCAAAAATTTTAGTGCCTATGCTCTGTGTGCGTTACGTGATTACACTCAGAAGCAGTCCTCAGTAGCTTAATGTCTGTTGCCTGAAATCAGTCCTACACAAGCTGTGTCTCCAAGTGTTTCACTGAAAACAAGAGTTGAGGTGATAACTGAGGACCACGTCCCCTCAGCAATAGTCCACTCTGGCCCCAGTAAACTCATCAGCCTTTCAGCATTAGGTGAGAACAGATCTCAGGCCAAAGAAATCGAGAGCTTGATGGCGCCAGAGAACAGGAGTCTGGAAGACAGGTCAGTGGTCAAGGCACCAGGACAGACACACACAGGCCAAGACGTCCGGCCTCCACCAGCCAACAGCGATGCTTGGCCTGGGCCCGAGCAGGTGGCCCTTCCCGGGAGGTCAGGATGGGACGGGCGCCCAAGCCATCAGATCGAGGACAGGAAAGGGGCCACCCCATCTTCTGCAGCCTCTGGAGAGGCGGTCTGGGCCACCACATGCCCACTACTGGGCTTTGCACGCCACCTACTGTCCCCCGAGCCAGCTCTGCGGGTGCACTGGTGGCCTCCAGCTGTGGTCCTCACCAGAGACCTGCAGCCGGAAGGGGATTCTGGCAAAAATGTAGAATCCCTGCGGATCTGCGCAGAATGCACACGAACAGCCCGTCTCCACTTCGCCCCAAGCACCAAGCAGACATCAGAAGGGACTCATCCCCAGCAAGCGCCTTCCCCGAATCGCTGAACTGTTCATGGGAAACCAATGCGGAAATGCAAGTGATTCCCCTCTTAACAAACACACAGAGCAAACCCGCCGGTAGCTTCCCTTTCCTGCCGTCCCTACGACTCCTCACCCACTCCACGCGCCCCAGCACTCCCCCCACCCCTCAGGAACACCCCCCCCCCCCCCCCCCGCCCTCGGCTCCTCCAAACGCCAGTGCACTGTGCAGCCATCTGTCCCTCCTCCACCAACCATCATGGGACTGGGCCACTGGAAGGGACAGGGCTGCCCCCGAACAAACGATACCTCACCCGGGTCCAGGACGCAGTCGAGAACCCCCTGACCCCTGGACATCTAGGACAGCGGGCAGGGTCGTGAGGGTGCGCCTCAGGGCTCCAGGGCGAGGCCAGCAAACCTGTCCCCATGGACGGGCGGACAGGCGGGCTGGGCTGGGCTCCTTGCGGCTCTACTGACACCTCAATTTCACACGATTTTCATGTGAAATGAAATATTCTTCTTTTGACTCTTCCAACCATTTAAAAACGTCAAATCCTTCCTTACCGTCAGGCCGCGCAAAGGCGGCGGCCAGTCCAGCCCTGCCCTAGGGGGGCCCCCGGCCCCCTCAAAAACGCTCAGCACTCCTTCCGGGGTCGAAGGTCATCGGAACAGATGAGGAAGCAAGGGGGGCTCTGCTTTCAGAGCAATCAGAGTAGAAAAGGCTGGGAAGTTACAAGGGAAGGCAGAGCTGTGCAAAGCAGACAAGAATCCCAGAGCCCAGAGGCCTGCAGTGACCCAGGGCACCCCGTCAGGAGCCTGAGCTTCACCAACGCAGGCCTGAAGCATGACGTCCAGCGAGCCAGTCACCAAACTGAGTTCTAGGTTCTACTCACAATGCCAAAGGCTTAAGGATTCTGGAGAGAAAGAATGTACCACAACATTTCTATCAAAAATGGCTTAAAAACAGAAGTTCTGGTCCACAATCAGACACTCAGAGCCATCAATTCCAGAGGTTCCCGGTTCCGCGTAACTCAGGTCTCCAGTAAGCGCCGCGGCAGCACGGCTAACCGTCGAGACCGGCCACAGCAGCCTCGGGCCAGCCGTCGGGCAGAGGACACAGGGCGGGGAGCTCAGAGGGGACTTACACCTCCTATGCCCTTTGAGGCTCCTTCCCTGTGTTAACCACCCTTTCCAAAGAAAAGAGTTTCTATATTCGCAGTTCCAAGTATGTCCTCTTACCCTGGCCACACTTAGACAGATGACACCTGTCATCCCTCGTTTCCATCCAGAAATGTTTTGTTTTCTCAGGGCAAGGTCCCACACCATCCAGAGGCTGGCTGGCCATGAGGGGGAAAGCGCTGTCCGCTCCCTGGAAATGGTCCACAGTCTCACAGCTGGTGGCCTCGGGCAAGAGTGGCTCTGAATCTCTAAGCGAGTTCTCTGATTTTGAGTGCTTCTTCTTTTTCTTCTTCTTCTTTTTCTTCTTGTGTCTGTTGTGCAGGTCGGCATCAGAGTGCGTTACCAAAAGGTCTGAGTACTGCTGCCGCCTGCAGAAGAAAAAGCCAGAACTCAAACCACCGGAAAAGCAAACCACCCCAAAGAGAACTGGTCTTCGATTTATACTCACTACTGTTGACACTCATTACGTGAACACAGGTAAACCCTATAATGAAAAATGCGTTGTTTTCATTGTAATAATTTTTTAAGTCTGGGGTCATAAGTTCACCAATTTCAACCTTTCCCCACCGATGCCCTTCAGCTTTGTTTGGGAGGGGAGCTATGGCCAGAACACCAGAGGAAGGATTTCGTCAATTTTTCCTGAAACTAGTGGCTGAAGGAAAAAATATTTTTGCCAGGTGTCTCAGGCACATAGGAGGGAAGGAGGTTTGATTTCCTTTTCCTTCAAGTAACCACACTCTCTACCTATGCCTCCTGGTAACCTCTTCCCAGGGTTTCGATTTTACGAGACGCCAACGTGTAGCACGCAATGCGCAGTAACCGTGTGTGTGCTCACCCCTCTCATCGTGGAGAAGTCATTTTCAAGAAAACTACTGACCAATTTAGCTTTTTAAAAATACAAATGTCCCAATGAGATTTCAAACTGAGAAATGGAGACAGAAAACTAGACAGAGGCAAATGCAACAAACGATGTGTCTCAGCCCTTTGGGTCACAGGCATGTTCAACAGGGTGGCGGCCTCCCATTTCCTGCCACGAGGCAGTAGTCACTGAGGGTAAAGAAAGTATCAGCAGATGTGAAAATATAACTAAATCTGTGAATAAATATATTAACAATCACTGTGAAGTCAAAACATCCCAAGTTTTATCTATCTACCAAACACTGCACACTTACTCCTAGAAGTTAAAAAGCACTAACTGAAAACGGCAACATCATCTTAAAAGATGGTTTTCGGGCATTTTAAAATACCATGAAATAAGATCCAGCTTAACACAGAGCTAAGTTTTAGGAATCTATAAAAACAGGGAAGTCCAAAACCCACAGGGATAAAAAGTACAAATCAGAGTCACATACACAGGACACAGCCCTTCACCTGTCGCCAAGCACACACGCCCTCACCTGGAATTCCGCTCTCGGTGTTTGTCCTTGGATTTCTTTTTCTTTGATTTTTTGTGCTTCTTCACTTTAGGCCCCTCTAAAGGATCCTTCTGTAAGCTTCTCCAGGCTTTCTTTTCTACGTGGCTGTCTTTATCCCCTACACTACTGTACCTCCGTTTTCGTGACTTGATGTTTTTGTGTTCGTGAAACTGACCGGCGAGGTCACAGCCTCTGTCTTCAGCCCCCAGTGCAGCCTTGTCGTGGGCGTACTTGTCAGCAGGGTGTGGAGGGGGCGTGTGGGCCGGGCCCGCCCCGGGGCTGCTGATGCGGTGCCGGTCCCTCTCTTTGGCCGCCGGCTCGTGGCCCTTCCGGCCTCTGTAGTGGTCCTTGTGGGGCCGGCCGCTGTAGGGCCCGGCTCGGTCGTACTCTCGCTCGCCGTGGAGGGGCCTCCACTCCCACGGCTCGCGGGCCGGGTACGAGGCGTACCTGTCGTGGTGGTACCTGAACCGCCCCCAGCGCATCCCGTCCGGGTAGTTCTCCCGGGCCCAGGCGTGCTCGGCCTCAGCGTGGTGGTAGCGGCCCCACTCCTGGTCGGGAGCCCCCATGCTCCGGGAGCGCGGGTGGCCGGACCTGGCCAGGGAACCGGGGCAGGGGGCGTGCGGGGCCGTGGCGCAGGGCTCGGGCCGCTCGGACCGGCACCGCTTCCACTCATGGTGGGGTCGCCTCCGGCGAGGCTGCTCCTCCGTCCCGCTCCTGCTGTCCCGCGCGTGCTCGCCGCTGGACGATCGGTCTTTTCGGCTGCGGTAATGTCCTCGGTCAACCTTTCTGAGGCTGCTGGTTTTTTCCTGCACTGCACAAGCCTCCTGGACCTTCTGCCCGGCCTTACTGTCTTCACCTCTCTCACCGTTACTTTGCTCGGGGACCCCCTCTGGACGGTTTTCTGCGATCCTGTCTAATTGCGGAGAGGGCACCCCATCTGCGGACACCCCTGTGCTTTTAGGGGGACCCTCCACATCCGTGCCTCTGTCCCGACTGCTGTGACCCAAGGGCTCAGGCTCACAGTCGCCCTCGATACCTGACAAGGGGCTCGGGCTCAGCCTCCCCGCGGCTTCTGCTGCCGCCGGGTCCTGGGGACGCTCTGGTGACGTCCCTTTCACGTCCTGGGACGGTTTGCTCTGATCGTTTGTTAAATTCCCTGGGTCACACGGTTTAGGAAGCTGGTCACCCCCGAGGGTATCCTTGTTGGTGTTACAAAAGGTGTTGATACTCGGCAAAGCCTCCTCGGGTTTTGCCAAAATGTTTTCAGAGACTTCTTCTTTGGTAGGTTTGATGCTGGCGTCTGAGGGCAACAAAACCTTCTTGAATTTGCTGCTAAGGCTCATGACCAGCTCTAGGTTCTCACAGGAATCGGGAGCGGAGCTGCCAGCCTCCAGCTCAGCCTTGGGGTCCTGCAGAGGCCTCTCCTCTGTCCCAGTTGTACTGCAGCCCCACCGAAAGAAAGAAAGAAAGAAATTAGCCATTTACTTGTTTGCTTCCTGGCTTACAGGGACAAACACTTCAAATCGTTCATTTACTAAATATTTTATGGCTTTACTACATCTGGTTTAAACCTAAAACTGGGCTTATCATTTTTGGAAACTTCAAATTTTCTCATTAAATAAAAATGTAAAAATTTGTATCAAGCCTACCCCATTTTTCAGCAATAATAATTCCGCAATTCTAGGCGCCTTCTGTTTTCAGATATACTTCTAATTCTTCTTAATAACCAAGTCCGAACCATCAGAAAAGTCAAGTAACGATGGGGCTCTTACTTTTCCTCTGGATCCCTTTTCTCTGAATTTTCCTGGAGCCTCGGAGCTAGAGTAGCTACCTCCAGACACAGCCAAGAGCTCCCTGAATTACCTGCAAATTGTGAGGAATCACTGAGGCTTTAGAAACACTTTCTGTAGTAAAAGAACTCTGCCTTGCTTCTGATGGAGTCTCGAAGTTAACGAAAGCTGCCAGAAAGCAAGAAAAACCCTAAAGCGGGCCCGCTCTGCAGCGGGAAAATATCTGGGAGAGAGAAGACACGTGTGATCTAGAGCGTGGCAGTGACGTGTTCAAGGCTGCACGTGAGGTTAGGAAACGTGCGTAGCTGGGGACTGACTGCTTACACAATCACCTGTCACAATTCTCACACACATTACATTTGAAGACCAACTAAGCCGGACAAGGACAGAGAAAGGAGGACAGCTATCCTGCCAGGGACTGAGTGTTCAAGTGCCCAGGGTCGACTGGGAGTGCGTGCTCTTTGCTCGTTCTTCTGAGCATTACTAACAGTGGTTCTTGGTGAAAGCACGCCCCCCGCAGGGCCCTTCTGAAATGTGGGGTGCATTTTTGGGTTAGCCCCACGATGGGGGAGCCTCACCAGCACCAGTGGGTGGGGGTGAGGCAGGCAGTCCCACAGAACAGCCCATGTCCCAACGTTCACGTGGGTGAAAATCCCGGCTCTATTACTGGCCATTTCACAGACACCACTAGGGTGTTGATCTCAGGTTGGTCAGAGCTTGGCCAGAAGTCGTCTACCAGGAGGACGTCACGGCGCTGACATGCGTGATGCGACCTGTGCGTGGCGCCAAGCTGCTGGCCCACCCCGCGTCCTGCGGTGGCACCGTCTCCCGGGCTGTTCACGTGGCGACACGCCACCCTTCCTTCTACTCCCATCACATGACGTTGAGGTCAATGCACTGACTTCTTTTTTTTTTAAGTGTGGAGACAGACGATCTTAACTAGGAATTTAATTTCAGAATTCTAAAGGGAGCAAAACCAAGGCTTCGCTATTAGACAGTCGAGAAGCCCTGCGCCACCCCTTCACACCTCCTCAGGTGCCTGTCACACGGGGGGCTGAGTGGGACGGTGCCGGCGGGAGGCCCAGCCGGGGGCTGAGGAGGGGCCCCAGAGAGGAGGGGCCCCAGAGAGGAGGGGTGCTGCGAGGGGGGGCGGGCGTCAGCTGGACTAACAGACCCTGTACGTGTTTACTTTCTTAAAAGGAACATGAATGAGTTCAACAGATCGTTATTCAAATCATTCCAGGGTCCAAAAGGTTCACCCTAAGACTTCCAGAGCGGCTGCACCCACAGGCCCTGCTGTGACTCCCCGGCCCGCGTCCCACGGCCTTGGGACCGTATCCTACCTCATCTCATCTGTGGAGCCTTTCCCTTTGCTGCCGAGTTTGAAGGTCTCTAAGATTTTGTCTTCTGGGAGAAGTGGCAAAGGAGCAGGCATCAACTACCATAAAAAAACAGAGAGATTTCAACTCTGGGGGCCACCTGAAACCCAGCCACGTGACCCGCGGACACAAGGGTGGAAGCAAAGGCCGCCCCAGCCCCGGCCGATGCGCACTCACCTTCCCAGGGAGACTGTTTGCCTTAGAAAAGGGGTTTTCTGAGTGTAGGGCAGGCTGGATGTGGCAGCTGGCAGCACCCGAGGGTAGGCTGTTTTCTTTCGGGTCACTGTCCGTACTGGTAGCACCATTTAGAGCCACGGGCTCTCGGAGCTTGTGCGGAGAGGCCCCGACATCTTCGGCAAGCGGAGCAGGGGCGCGCGCGCTCTCGGCGGGACGGAGACTGTTCTCCTTGCCGAGGCCCTTCGCCTCCTCGTCGGACTCTTCGGACGACTCGGCGCCATAGGGGACCAGCACGCCGGAGCTCAGCTTGGACCTGCCGTTCGTCACAGGCTCAGGGCAGGACTCCCTCAGGGCGATCTGCTTCGTTACCTTACTAGACGCGGGCATCGCGGGGGCACTCGAGGTAGACTGTATTGCAGTAGAAGTCGTAATGGTAGAGGAGGGGGCGGGCTTGTTAGCGCTCTCCGAAGAGCTGCTGTGGAGAGTAGGCTGTGGCTGCATTTTCTGCACAGGTAACTTGCTGTGAATACTGATCGTGATTTTCTGTTTCTTGGGATGTTCTGGAATAACTGAGGGCCTGTTAACCGGCCAGTCCTGAACAGATGTCGAGGCGTTAACAGGGCCAGTCCTACTGACACTGGAATTCCCGTTAGGACTTGCCATGGAGCTGCTCGGCATTTCCTTCAAGGGTCCTGTCCCGTTTAGATGAGGTGGGTTCTGGAAACAAGCAGACCACAGCCAGGTGAGAGCTCCAGAAACAGTCGCAGACTCAGAAACCTGAGGCCGTGGGCCTCTCCCACTTCGGTTATCTTTTTCTTCTGTGAATAACAAGTTTCACGCACCTAGAAAGCCCTCCCCCTCTCCTGCGGGCCTGCCCACCACAAACCTTTCTGGAAAAAGCAACAGCAGTGGCCCCTCCACACAGGGCATGTGCTCTCCAGTTGGCCGTGTCCTGAGGTCTCACTCAGGCAGAGCCCAGGGCAGGACCTGCTGCCTGTCCAGCTCCCTAAGGCACTGAATCTGTGACTCCCTATCAAACTGAAGGCTGTTATGACACTATGGCACAGGTGAAAGGATTATTCCAAGGTGTATACAGGCTATTCCAACAAGTCCAACATGTCCACAATCTCAACACCTACGTCAAGCAAAAAGCCAGGCCTCCACTGAGGACTCAGAGCTTCACACGAACCAGGCATACCTTCCATTCCCCCTGAGAAGCCATGAGGGAGTGTGATCAGACCCAGCCGGACGGCACAGAGAAAATGCCAAACTCCTGAAAGGGCTACACGGATACGACTGAAGTGTTCTTTCTGTAAAAGCATCACTTTCCTGGAGGCCAGCATTGATCAAGAATCCCCAAATATTTAATCCATTAAGTGAACGGAAGTCCAAGGTGGGAGCTAAAATCTCTAGCGTCTAAATAGACTTACACCAGACTTTCTTCTTGATCATTATGTTCATACTTGGAGATTTTCTGTATATTTGAAATATAATCAACAGCTTGAATAAACTCTTTGGACAAGAAATTCAGTTGTAGATGAGGTCATGACAACCACTGCAGTGTTAACTAGAGGGCTGGAAAGATGAACATAAAGATGACATTCTACCCGTGGAACGTTACCTTCATCATGTGAGAAGGAAGCTGTGGTCCGATGAACCCGGATGCTGCCTGTGTGTTGCTGACAACCCGCTGGCTGATCACCGGCTGGGGAGAGGACTGGCCAGGGCTATGGGCGGAATGAGTAAGTTCACCTCCTATTTTCACATCGTGGGACCTGGGGACAGAGAGTGACAGTGCTCAAGGTGATATGGGACATCTCCCCAAAAGAGACTCACGTACACCCCACCCTCAGGTAACAGGTGACATGATGTGCAGAGCTACACGCAGGGTCCCCATCAAGTCCAGGCCAACGCCGGGTGCTCAGATCGGGAGATAACAGGTCACTGGGCAAATGGTATTGTGAACTGTGTATTCTGAGGATGCCACTATCTGAAAGCTACTGTTCTTTACTTTTTAATTTTTTGAAAGCTATTTTTCTTTTCTTTTTTATTTCTATTTTTCTAATTATAAATACATACCATTGTAGAAAAATCTGTAATATCCTGAAAAGTTAGAAACAAACAAAAACACTTTGCCTCCCCTCACTGCTTTGAGGCGTCTACTATTCAGATTTAGTGGATTTTCCTCCAGGCTTTAGCCTGTACTGATTTCTTCAGTATCAGTGTGTAAAATTTCAAACTGCTTATCCTCCTTATGTGGAGCACTCTCTCATATCATTTTAAAAAGCTTTATAAAAATCACTTTTAACAGCTGCATTGTTTCATCATATGGATATGCTATAATTTATATGATCTTCTGCTATTGATGGAAATTTCATGATGTTCTTAATTTCCAGCTACTACAAATGAATGCACTGGAGCACACATCAGATTGTTCCAAGGCCCTACATTTCCAGAAATGGAACTAGCAAGTCAGAATATCCAGCAGCAGCAGGGGTGCTGGTGCTGGCCCAGGCCTGGCCCAGGGAGGTGGCTGGCTGCCTGTGCTCAGTGGTTGAGAGGTGACCACACCCAGGTACTCAAGAGTCCCCTTCTCCAGGCCTCCGCTCACTGCCTCCCAGGCCCGCTGGCCCACCCGGTTTGCCAGCAGCAGCAGAAGCCCACCCTCTGAGACTGCCACCTTCCCTTTCTTCTGCACGTTTCTTTATTAACCTGCCAAAGAGCTGGGAGCTAAAGCAAACTCATGATCCACACTGAATACCACCTTCCTTACTCTCCCCACCATCGAGATGCTGTTTAAACAAACTATATTGAATTTAAATATGTTGATGAGAGGAAGAGAGATGACATAACAGAAAAGATGAAAATTTGCTTTCCTGACAATACCTGATATAAAAGAGAACATAAGCTTGTTGACTGAGTACCGATCTAATATCACTGATAGATACGATGGAGTCATTCATTTGGTACCAGAGGTCATTGCTAGCCTGCAAAACAGCCAATAAAAGAGATATTAGATACAATTAGGTAAATAGGGAACACCAATCCAGAGATGTAAGGAAAATGGGCTTTCACATTTTACCTGTAAGAGCCCCACCTTTCCTCCCCAAAATGCCAGGGCTGTCTTCCAGTGTATTGTAAAAATAGTTATTAGCAAAATCCACAGAGCTTACTTTTATGTAGCAGAAGTAATGGCCAGCATGGCAATTAAAACCAGTGTGTACCAGTACTGCATACAAATCATAAATGATCGGTTCTCCGTTCGGCTGAGACATATACGGTCGAATATCAAGATACTCAGGGTATTTCACATCCTACACAGGAATGGAAAGAGGAAAAAGGAACGTCATTTCTGAAGGTGCAGGTCATCCCATGTGCACGGGCACAGGAGACCCCAGAGCACTGTGCCCTGCGTTCTGGCAGAAAACCAGCACACTGAACCTCGTTTCAAAAGACAGAATCAACCTGGAGCACACCTGAACCTCAGTGTGTTTAATGCAATCCCACTGTATTCTTTATTTCCTTTAAACAAGTAAGGATCCACAGTAAGTGAATTCTCCAAGTCCATCGAAGGAGACAGTAACAATCACAACCTGGATTTGAGCGTCCAGACAGTCTTATTTTTAACAGTTCGGGAACAGATTTCTTTTGCATATTACTAGATTTCTGACCACTTTCAATCTTCAGAAAGTGGGAAGACGATGGGAAAATTCAGTATACTACCAGTCAGAAAACAAATGAATAAAAATAAGCTCTGACGAAAGAATGGCAGGATGTGACTGGGAACCCTCTTTGGATTCAAATGACACAAGCTCACTCCCTGCAGCCACTCGTCACCTGCACTGACTGTGAAGCCCAAATGAAGATAATAATCATCAATTTATCTTCAGAAAGTCTAGCCAGCTGAAGGATACAGAAAAAACACATACGCTCATAAACACACATACCAAACTACTAGCTCAATTCTTCGACATTTTTTTTCTACTACCAAGTGCTGGAAGAACTTAGAAAATCAGATAATAAAACGGTTCAATTTAGTTACTGACACTTAAGCCCTGAAAGGCTAAACATAAACGGTTATTAATAATATTATCTACAAGGGAAGAGATATGGGAACATATGTATATGTATAACTGATTCACTTTGTTATAAAGGAGAAACTAACACACCATTGTAAAGCAATTATACCCCAATAAAGATGTTAAAAAATAATAATAATAATAATAATATTATCTACATACCTTAGCAATTTTTCCACCAGTAAAATTTGCAAAACGTTTCAGAGAAAGTGTGAGAACATTAGAAGATCTGTGTATAGTGAACCTCTTCGAAGCTGGAACCATATTTTTACACCTTGGAAAAAAACAGAAACAGATGTTTAAGATTAATATGTTTTTTTTTTAATCTTTCCCTTGTTATTCCTCTGAAACATTCTAAATTAAGTTTCCAAAAGAAGGCTATGAGATGAGAAATACCACCCTTTTCAAACAACAGTGAAAATATTAAAATTTAAAGTATGGGGGAAACTGCTTAATTAGCATGAAAGAAAAAGGACAGTTCTGAAATGTCAGGTATGACAGGTCACTGGTATTTTAAAAATTAGATTAATATAAGTTTCTCTCAATGGAAAACAAACTGAAAAACTGGCTGGTATAATACTGTGAAAACTAAGCCCAGATACAAAAGGAAGAAAGTAAAGACTAGAAATGTCCATGAAGTTTAAAACAAAGGAGAAATCCCTATGGTCGTGGGAGGAAAGGGAGCCGTCTCCCCCAACAAAATGAACCCAGGCACACCTCATGTTATTACCCTCTGCAGATATTCCATTTTTCACAAACTGAAGGTCTGTGGCAACCCTGCATGGAGCAAGTCTACTGGCATCGTTTTTCCAAAAGCATTTGCTTACTTCGTGTCTCTGTGTCACATTTCGGTAATTCTTGCAATATTTCAAGCTTTTTCATTATTATTATATTTGTTATGGTGACCTGTGATCAGTGACTTTTTTTTTTTTTTTTTGCGGTACGCGGGCCTCTCACTGTTGTGGCCTCTCCCGTTGCGGAGCACAGGCTCCGGACGCACAGGCTCAGCAGCCATGGCTCACGGGCCCAGCCACTCCGCGGCATGTGGGATCTTCCCGGACCGGGGCACGAACCCGCGTCCCCTGCACCGGCAGGCGGACTCCCAACCACTGCGCCACCAGGGAAGCCCGATCAGTGATCTTTGATGTTACTATTCTAGTTATTTTGGCATTTTTTAACAGTAAGTATTTTTAAGTGAAGGTCTGTACATTGTTTTTTAGACATAATGTTATTACACACTTAGACTACAGTATAGCATAGACATAACTTTTCTATGCACTGGGAAATGAAAAAATTCATGTGATTCACTTTATTGTAAGATTTGCTTTATTGTGGTGGTCTGGAACCAAACCTGCGGTATCCCTGAGGTTTGCTTATATTCAATAACAACGCTTACCTGTATTACCTGACTTAAAATGAAAATCTACTTAGAACATATGAAACAGGGCTTTCTTAAAATAGGCTCTCTTGGGACTTCCCTGGTGGTCCAGTGGTAAAGAATCCGCCTTGCAATGCAGGGCACGAGGGTTCGATCCCTGGCCAGGGAACTAAGATCCCACATGCTGCAGGGCAACTAAGCCCGCGCGCCACAACTACTGAGCTCGCACGCCTCAACTAGAAAGCCCGCGTGCCGCAAACTACAGAGTTCATACACTCTGGAACCTGCATGCCATAACTATGGAGCCCACGTGCCCTGGAGCCTGTGTGCCACAGCTAGAGAAAACCCACACGCCACAACTAGAGAGAAGCCTGTGAGCTGCAATGAAAGATCCTGCATGCCGCAACTAAGACCCAACACAGCGAAAAATAAATTAAATAAATAAATAATGAATAAATCTTTAAAGAAAGAAAGAAGGAAAGGGAGGAAAGAAAGAAAGAAGGAAAGAAAGAAGGAAGGAAAGAAAAGGAAGGAAGGAAGGAAAGAAAGAGAAAGGAAGGAAGGAAGGAGGAAGAAAGAAAGAAAGAAAGGAAAGGAAGAAAGGAAAGGGAAGGAAGGAAGGAAGAAAGAAAGAAAGGAAGAAAGAAAGAAAGAAAGAAAAAGACACTGCCCCCCTTTAAAAAAATAGGCTCTCTTGACTTGCTGGGGAAACATTAAAGAATAACTTAAATTCGAGGTTTCTAGCTGATACTGCCCCAAATCCTGGGAGACAGCCAGCAGTTAAGAGAGACCCTGAACTGCTCTGGGAGAAAGTGACTCCCCATCCACCCCAACCCTTTCACACAGGGGAGTCCATGTAGATGCTGCTCGACACACACACTGCCGCAGCCAAGCTTCACACGCGGCAGCACTGACCTTACCTCTCCATTCCCACCCACCTCCCCAGGAGCGAGGCCCCATCTCCCATTCTTCAGTGCACTTCTCTGCAGAGTGTAAACACTGAGACACAGAGTGCCCTGGCCCTTGGGAAAGAGAGACCCAGGGTCTTCCCAGACGGTAACGGGAATCTAGCCCTGGGTTACGCAGACACACCGAACGCTTTCAAACCAAGCCTCCCCGCCCCCCATGCGGCCTCCAGCGTCACCCGTCATACTTGCTGCACTTGTACGAGTTTTCTCCATCGAGCTGTTCCGGCTTCACAAACTGCTCCAATGCCTTATTAACGCTCTGAGCAGCCTGGGGACAGAGCACCAACACCACATTACCACTCATTGCCGCTTGTTAGGAAAAAGAAAAGAGATGACTCGAAAGTATAAAAGCAAACGTGAATTTTTATGTAAAAAGAAAATCTTTCATTATGACGTTCAGTTTTATATTAATACATGTACACACCAAGCTATTTCCCCTCCCATTAAAAAAAAGAGCAGATTAAAGTCAGCAAAAATATGTGAAGAGCTTGCTTGCTGCAGCATTATTTAAAATAGTGTAAAGCTGGAAACGAATGAAGTATCTACCAGCAAGGAGTCAGGCATGTAAATCGGCTGAAGCACAACACACAGAAGCCCAAGCAAAATGCAGTGAAGACAGGAAGTGGCCAGACAGACTGAAGGTATGCACCCATTTTTATAAACAGTAAACAAATACTCTGCAAGCAGTTTATATCAAGCTGTTAACAAGAGTACATTCTGAGGGATAGGATCTCACACGTCTCTGCAATGTTTCTCATTTTTGTCACTAGCGTGTATTACACTTGTAATCAGAAAAACAAAAGCTTAAGACAACAAAAAATAGGAGTTTAGAAAATGCAAGAAGCAAAACAGCACCTAAAGAATAACCACCACCTAAATTTGGCTAATATAGGCATCAGAATCTGGTTTTATTAAGATTAAGTGAAAAGTCAAAGGGTGATAAAATTATTAAACGTTTCAAGTTTTTTATGATGCCTAATACAAAGCTTAAATAATCTCCTCTAAGTAAAGTCCTAGCCTATTAAAATTTTCAATTTATATTCTCTAACAAGTGTAGTCTAAATTATGAGTGAACTATACATACATAAAGTATGACTGACTTTTTTTAACTTCACCACCACAACAACTATCAAACTTACCTTTATTTCCAATGTTATGTCGAGATATGGATCAAAAGTATCTGACACACCTTTGCAATTTAAACATTTGACTGAAATAAAAAGAAAATGCAAAGGATAAGCCAAGTATAATCAGCATGGCAATACCAACTACTGAAATGACAGAACATATAAATACTATCACAAAATAAAACACACAAGGTACTTTTTTCTCTATCACATTGGGCAAACCATTTTACCACTACACAGTGAGAGGCACTAATGTGATGCACACTCGCCGCTGGCTGGAGTGGAAACTGGCATAGGCTCTTGGAAGAGTGACACGGCAGAGTCAAAGTTATCAAAATAAGGAGATTCTAAAAAATTATCCTGTGTATATACACTTTTACATGGACATAAAGGCATGTGTATACAGGGATGTTCAATGAAGCACTGATGGTAACAACAACAACAAAAATTAGAAACAATCTAAAAATTCCCTGATAGGGAACTAAAATAAATGGAATACTACTGCAACTGTGAAAGACTCTGTTAGACCTATATGTGCTGAAATGTAAAAAGGTTTCCAATGTGAAAAGAAGCCAGTCTGCTCATGCACAGGAAACTACTGGAATGGGACAGGGGCTGCCTCTGAGGATGGGGGATGGGAGTCTGGGCCGGAAGGGAGATACACTTTCCATTATTAACCCTTTCCTATCCTTTGCATTTTTTAAACCACATACTGTATCACACTTATCAACCTTTAAACAGAAGTTTACCTCTAGATCTTAGGTATCCTCCAAATATCTGGCAAACGAGTGTGGTAGCCTGAGTGTGTCTGTCTAATCTGAAAAAGTCAAACAGTAAAATGAGAGAAGAGTTCTACAAGAACGACAGAGGCTATAACCAGATTTTAAAAGCATGTACATCTATAAAAGAACGAGAATTCAAACAGCAGAGCTGCACAGTATGTGTGACAGCCAGAGAATAGCCTTGCCTCATCAGAACACAGTGAGGGTTTGGGGTGAGGCAGGAAAAGAGGTAGCCTGGTATTAAGAAGGGACTTCAAAATTAAGTCAGGAATCTGGCCCTGAAGCAAGTAGTAAGAGGAAGTCACCCTAAAGCAGGACTGTGACACCGAGTGTGAGGACTTGCCGGTGAAGGCAGGGAACACAGAGCATTCTCCCCTGTTCTGCAGCTACTGTCATACTGACAAGGATAGCCTGGGCGAGGCAGTGCTGATGGCAGTGGGAAGGGAATGGGAGACTTGCTGGGTGTGTTGAGGCAATACAAGTGGGTTAGGACTTGTTATCTAATTGTTTCTCCAATCTTCCTCTTGAGCCCACATTTAGATTTTAAAGAAGAAACTGCAGAAACTGGTAAGTGACCAGAATGAGAAAGACACAGGGAACAAATACAGATTTTAAAGTCTAGAGATCAACTCAGAAAACGTTGGCACAAGAAAGGAGAAGTGGTTAGTTTTGACCTGCAGAGGGATGATGATACCCAGAAATTAAATCATGTCAAGACCAATATTCATGTCCTGACATCTGTAATTAAATCCAAATTATTATAGTAAGCACACCTTTTAAAATTTCAACCATTTGAAAATAATGCCAATCACTGGAGGAAGAGGCAGCGCAAAGTCAAAAGTTGAGGCCGAAAGAGAGCTCTGCACACCCATCGTAAAAGGCTAGACTGAGTTCTGGTGAGCCAGCGAGGTAGGCGGGGGGTGGGAATGGGGGTTGACGGATGCTGTGTGTACTCACTTGTTGCTGCCATTCAAGCATGCTTTTTGCATAGCATCAACAGTGTGCTGAAGGAATTCATGGGCATCTTCTTGGCTTCCAAAGCGGAAGTGCCTAGCTATGCCTATAAAGTTCGAGTAAAGACACAGCTTTATCATCACGTGACATGCGGGGCTGTACTCCCCCAAAAGTTACATCTTATGTCAATACGTTGGTTAGAAAATACCCGATAATTATTTTATGAGGAAACAGCATTAATAAGCTCCCCTGAGAACAGCTAGGACAGGCCCTTTAGACCATTAAAAGTCCACATGGGCTAGAGTTGCTGAGAGCCCAGAGACTCTATGTCTTCAGCAATAAAATGATACCTGAATAAATTCAACTTTGGCTGTACTGTTTCAAAAATTTGTCCCAAATGTTATGTCAGTGCACACATCTTAAATCTGGCCCTAGATCTCCCTGAGAGAATCCATGTAAAACATAAATGTGTGAACCTATCTAAATTCTATCCCAATAACCTAGAGAACACACTATATTCTCCACTGAGTATCACCTTGGTCCTATTTCTAATTGACTAAACAGCCGCAAGACAAAATTACATAATAATGAAAAACAACACAAAAGTATAAACAATATACATAGAATTTTAATGTGTATGAATATATATAAATATATATTAACTTGAATCATATGAAATTGCCAATATTCTACCAGTTCTGACCTACAAAAATGACAATTTCATTATTCAACCATATATGTTTGGAGTTAGCAGGCGGTGTATGTTCATGGATGTATGTATATACACACAATGACATTCTCTTAAAGACTAAGTTTAAAAATATTAGACATGCCTGTCGTGTGTGTGTGTGTGTGTGTGTGTGTGTGTGTGTGTGTGTGTGTAATATATACACGTAATTAAACAAACAAAATCACCCCTGGCTAAAATTCTGCCGGGATCCTATAATGTTTAAAAAATTTTTGCATTGTCTACTCTGGCCTGTTAATAGTACCAAGGGCCAATATAACACCTCTTTATCTTCAGCAGCTTTTTAGGCAAAAAGATTATAAATTGTCACTGTGTAATTATCCACCCCTATAATTACCCAGCTAGACAGCAGAGTAAGAGTTAGGTTTTTGTTTTATTCGCAAGCATTTTTTATTCCAACTCAGTTAATTAAGATGATGTAAAAGCTTACTGCAAAAAACATACAGAAAGTGCATAAAAATATTTCATGTGACCTATCAGGATCATTACAATTCAAGAGGAAATTTTAAAGTCATTTAAAAATTGTATAGAAAAAGTGAAATTTATCCACAAATTTGCTAAGTTATGAGTATAAAATTTTCTTTAAAAGTATAATTAACTTTATTTTGATAATTCCCATCACTATGTATAGTGTACTACTCATTCATTGAATTAAAACTAACTGAAAACTAAAGAAACCTGTGGGACAATATTAGAGTTAGTATTAGCATAGAAATCCAAATATCTGAGAAAAACACTGTAAAACTTATCAATGATTTTATTAATAAATTGAGTTTTTAAAAATTTTTAATGTGTTTATATATTAAACTGAATACCACCTTCTTTACTATATTGTCATCTTTTACTTTAGGTTTCAAAATGTGTTTATATAGTAAATAGTTTACTAAAAACCTGTTATTCATTAAAGACATATACATATACAATAAGCTGTTTGTTGTAATACACAAGGAGCTCATCATCTACCAGTTAGACCATTAAGACCAATTAGCTAACAAATACTAATATAAACTACTATAGAGGATACTTACGCCGCATCTCATTAATGACAAACATCGGTTTAATAACATCCCCAGGATGGTTCAGCACTTGTGTGATATGAGCCTGCATTGTACACATCATACAAAATCCTTCTGCATGACCTGAAAGATAACAGATGATAATCCTCCAAATTAGCAAAATATGACTCTATATATACATCAAGGGGTATTATAAATAACGGGCACACTCCTGAAATAAGAATAACAGTTACAGGACTTCCCTGGTGGCGCAGTGGTTAAGACTCCACACTCCCAATACAGGGGGCCTGGGTTTGAGCCCTGGTCCGGGAAGATCCCACATGCTGCGGAACAACTAAGCCTGTGTGCCACAACTACTGAGCTTGCGCTCTAGAGCCCACGAGCCACAACTACTGAGCCCGCATGCTACAACTACTGAAGCCCGCGTGCCTAGAGCCTGTGATCTGCGAAAAACACAAGCCACTGCAATGAGAAGTCCGCACACCACAACAAAGAGTAGCCCCCACTCACCACAACTAGAGAAAGCCCGTGCGCAGCAACGAAGAACCAACGCAGCCATAAATAAATACATTAATTAATTAATTTAAAAAAAAGTTTTGGGACACAGCTAAAGCAGTGTTGCAAGGGAAATTTACAGTAATACCAATATCAGAAGCAAAAACAAGGATATCAACCCTGCAGACATCAAAAGGATAACAAGGGAATACTATAAATAACTTCACACACATAAATTTGACAACTTTGGAAAAATGGACCAATTCCTCAAAAGAAGTGAACTACCACAACCCACCCAGTATAAAATAATTGCAATAGCGCTATACTTATTAAGGAAATTAAATTTGCAATTTTAAAACTCCCAGAATAGAAATCTCCAGGCCAAGATAGTTTCCCTGATGGATTCTACACTAAATAAGAATTTACATCAATTCTACACAATCTCTTCCGAAAAACAGGAGTTAACATATCCCAAATTCATTTTATAAAGCTAGTATTACCCTGATACCAAAACCACACAAAGGTGGTACAAAAACAGAAGATTAAAGAGCGACATATCTCATGAACACATGTAAAAATCCTTAACAAAAATTCAGCAAAATATAAAAATAAACATCATGACCAAACGGAGTTTATTCCAGAGATACAAAGATGACTCAGTACTGGAAAATCTACCAGTGTAATCCACTATATTAATAAGCTGAAGAAGAAATTCACATGATCATATCAATTTGACACAGAAAAAGCTATAGACAAAAATCAACACTCATTCAAGATAAAAAGCGGGAATCAGTAAAACAGAAATAGAAGAGGAAAAAAAAAAAAGAAATACAGGGGAACTTCCTTGACTTGATAAAAAGGAAAAACCTACAGCTAACATCAAACTGAATGCTTTTCCCCTAAGATCAGAAATGAGGCAAGGACGTCAGCTCTGAGCACTCTTATTCAACATATTGCTGGAAGTTCTAGCCAGTGAAATAAGGCAAGAAAAGGGAATAAAGGACACAGATCAGTAAGGAGTAAGTAAAAATGTCCCTATCTGCATATGACATGATTCTCTACATAGAAAAATACAAGGACTCCCAAAAGAAAAAAAAAAGCCTAGAAATATTAAGTGAAGTCAGTAAGGTCAATATACAAAAATCAAATGTATTTTTATATACCAGCAATAAAAATGTGAACACCAAAATTAAAAATATAATGATGCTTATAATTCCTCAAAAAATAAAAGGATTAGGTGTAGATCTAACAAAACAAAACATGCTGATTAACTACACAACACTGATGAAACAAAGTAAAGAAGATCTAAGTAAATGGAGAGACACACCACATCCACAGACTGGAAATGTCAGCATAGTAGAGACGTCAATTCTCCCCAAACTGAGATACAGGTTTAACAAAATTTCTATCAAAATCCCAACAAGATTTTTTTGTACATATAGACAAGATTATTCTGTAATTTATATGGAAAGACAAAGGAACCAGAATAGAAAAAAACAATTTTGAAAAAGAATAAGTGGATGGACTCACTCTACCTGATATCAAGATTTATTACATAGCTACAATAACAAAGACCAACCGTGTTGTGGGACAGATACATACCTTAACAGAACAGAATAGGGGACCCAGAGATAGACCCACACAAATACACCCAAGTGATTTTTTTACAAAAGTGCAAAAGCAATTAATGAAGGAAAGATAGCCTTTTAAACATATGGTGCTAGAGCAACTGGACATCCACAGACAGAAAAACTAAACCTCATGCTATACAAAAATTAACGTAAAATGGATCACATACCTAAATGTAAAACTATAGAACTTGTAGGAAAAAAAATAGGAGAAAATCTTTAGGATCAAAGGCTATGCAAAGAGATCTTATACTTGACAGCAAAAGCACAATCCATAAAAGGAAAAATTGGACTTCACCAAAATTTAAAACTTTTGCTCTGTGAAAGACCCTGTTAAGGGGATGAAAAGACAAGCTTCAAACTGGCAGGAAATGTTGGAAATATACATCCGAAAAAGACCTAATATCTAGAATATATAAAGAACAAAACAACAATATAAAAACAAAGAACACAATAGAAAATGAACAAAAGACACAAAGAGATATTTTCCAAAGGGGATATATACAGATGGTAAATAAACACATGGAGAGAAGTTCAAGACCTTTAGGCATTAGGGAAATGCAAATTAAAACTACAATGAGATATCATTATACTCATCATTACCGTATGGCTAAAATGAAAAATAGTGAAACACCAAATGCTGGCAACAATGCAGAGCCACTGGAGCGCAATACACTGCTGGTGGGAACGTAAACTGGTCAGCCACTCTGGAAAACTACCTGGCAATTTCTTACCAAACTAAACACGCAACTACCTTATGACCCAGCAACTGTAGTTCTGGGCATTTATTCCAGAGAAATAAAGACTTGTGTTCACACATATGCTCTACACACTAATGTTTACAGCAGCTCTATTCATAATATCCAGAAACTGGAAACAACCCAGATGTCCTTTAATGGATGAGCGGTTAAACAAATTGTGGTCCATCCATACCATGGAATACTAGTCAGCAATAAAAAGGAACAAATTATTAATATACACAACAAAGTGAATGAATATCCAGAGACTTATGTGGAGTGAAAAAGCCAATCCCTACTATATAATTCAACATATGTAACATTCTTGAAATGACAAAATAATAGAAGTGATAACTAGTAGTTGCCAGGGATTAAGGAGGAGGTGGGGACACGAGTGAAGTGGGCTTGGCTATAAAAGGGAAACATGATCCTTAGTGATGGAAATGTTCTGTACCTTGACTGTATCGATATCAATATCCTGGCTGTGAGACTGAACTACAGTGTCACCACTGGGGGAAACTGGGTAAGGGTACATAGGAGGCCTCTGTGTGATTTCTTACAACTGCAAGTAAATCTAAAATTACCTCAAAATAAAGTTTAGCTTCAAAAAAAGGCAAAATAAAAATATTTCAGACCAAGAATAAAAAACAAACAAATAAATAAAACAAAACCCAAAAAACAGAGTTTGGGGGCTTCCCTGGTGGCGCAGTGTTTAAGAATCCACCTGCCAATGCAGGGGACACGGGTTTGACCCCTGGTACTGGAAGATCCCACATGCCGTGGAGCAACTAAGCCCAGGCGCCACAACTACTGAGCCTGCGCTCTAGAGCCCATGAGCCACCAACTACTGAGCCTGTGTGCCACAACTACTGAAGCCCACGCACCTAGAGCCCATGCTCCGTAACAAGAGAGGCCATCACAATGAGAAGCCCGTGCACCACAAGGAAGAGTAGCCCCTGCTCGCTCCAACTAAAGCCCGCACCCAGCAATGAAGACCCAACGCAGCCAAAAATAAATAAATAAATAAATTTATTAAGAAAACCAACCAACCAAACAAACAAAAAAAACAGTTTGTCACCAGCAAGAAAAGTTAAGGGAATTCCTCCAGGCATATGAAAAAATACCAGATGGATGTCTGGATCTACACAAAGGAATTAAAAGCAGTGGAAATGATAAAAGAGTAAGTAAATATAAAAGACTGGTAAAGAAACCTTAACAAACTACTTAAAACTTTTAAATTTTATTTAAAGCAAAATAATACAATATATTATGTGGATACAAATTAAGTAAAAATAAAATGTGTGACAACAATAGCACAAATGCCTAGAGAGAGACCATGAAAGTATACTGTCATAAAGTCCTTATACTACACAAGAAATGTAATAGTATCTCAATGCAAGCTATGGTAAGTTAAAAATGTATGCTAAACCCTAAAGCAACCACTAAAAAGAGAAAACAAAGTTAGAGAAAATATGCCAATAAAGGAGAGGAAATATAAAATTACTCATTCCAAAAGAAAGCAGAAAACGATGAAAAAGGGAACAAAGAATACAGGACAATTAGAAAACAAATAGCAAGATGGTAAATGTAAAACCAATCATATCAATACTCTCATTAAATATAAATGATTTATATTTTAAAAGGCAGAGACTGTAAGACTGGATTAAAAAACAAGAACAAACTATAGGCTGTTTACAAGAAATCCACTTTAAATATAAACACAAATAGATTAAAAGTTAAAAGATGGAAAAAGACATACCATGCTAACATTAATAAGAAAACTGGAGTGGCTCTATTTCAGACAAAGCAGATTTCAGAGTAAAGCATACTATTTGGGATAAAGAGGGTCATTTCATAAGTTATAAATAGGTCAGTTCACCAAGAGGTCATAATAACCTTAAGTGACAGAGTTTCACAATACATGAAGCAAAACTGATAGAACAGAATGAAGAAACAAATTCAAAAATTTCTTTTATTTCAACATACCTCTCTCAAAATTTGATAGAACAAGTAGACAGAAAAGCAGTAAAAGGACATAAAAGACAACCTCAACAACATTATCAAGTAACTAAACATAATCAGCATTTATAGAAACTCCAACCAACACAGCAGAATACACATCCTTATTAAGTACACGTGGAATATTTAACAAGCTAGACCACGTTCTGGTGCATAAAACAAGTCTCAAGTTTCAAAGGATTCAAACAATAAAAGTATCTTCTCTGACCACAATGGAATTAAAGTAACAGGTAATCAGTAACAGGACAATTTCCGAAAAATCCCCAATCATCTCGCAACTAAAAACACGCCTCTAAGTAATCATAAGGGCATCAATCAAGTAATTGTATTAAAAAAACTACTAGAATTAAGGAGCTGAGCAAAGTTGTAGGATACAAGATCAATAAACAAAGTTCAACTGCATTTCTATATTCTCACAATGAACAATCAAAAATCGAAATTCAAAAACTATTACCATTTATAATAGCTTTCAAAAATATGAAATACTTAGGGATAAATCGGATTAAAAAATGTACAAATTGTACTTGTATACTGAAAACTATGCAACACAGCTAAGAAAAACTGAAGATAACCTAAATAAATACCTAGTTTGTGGGTCAGAAGACAATACTGTTTGGATGTCATTCGTCCCAAACTGATGTACAGATTCAACACAATCCTAATCAAAATCTCAGGAAGCTTTTTTGTAGAAATTGACAAACTGATTTCAAAATTCATTTGGAAATGCAAAGGACCAAGAATGGCCAAAACAACTTTGAAAAAGGAGAACAAAGTTGGAAAAGTTACCTGACTTCAAAACTTTTAAATATATAGTAACAAGGCACTGTGCTTTGGTGTCAAGACAGATAGTGGATCAGTGTAACAAAACAGAGTCCAGAAATAGATCCATATGTATATGATCAATTGATTTCTGTTGCTGCTGCTGTTGTTGTTTTTGCGGTACGCGGGCCTCTCACTGCTGCGCCTCTCCCGTTGCGGAGCACAGGCTCCCGACGCGCAGGCCCAGCAGCCATGGCTCACGGGTCTAGCCGCTTCGCGGCACGTGGGATCTTCCCGGACCGGGGCACAAACCCGCACCCCCTGCATCGGCAGGCGGACTCCCAATCACTGCGCCACCAGGGAAGCCCTGATCAATTGATTTTTGACAAAGGTACAAAAACAATTCAGTAGAGAAAGGGCTATCTTTTGAACAAATAGTGCTGGAACAACTGGATATCCATATTGAAAAACATGAACTTTAATCCATTCTTCACACCACAAATAAAAATTAACTCAAAATGTATCACTGACCTAAATATAAAAACTAAAAGTATAAAACTGCTAAAAAATAAAGGGAAAATCTTTGCAACCTCTCGTTAGGCAGATTTCTTAAATACAACACCTAAAGCACAGATGATAACAATGGAAAAATAATGAAGTAGTATTCTTCAAAACTAAAAACATGCTCTTTGAAAGACAGTGTGAGGAGACTATTTTCTCCAGATTGGGAAACATTTGCAAATTACATATCTGATAAAGGGCTTCTATCCAGAATACATAAAGAACTCTCAAAACTCAACGATAAGAAAACTACGCAATTTTAAATCAGGCAAAAGATATGAGCAGGCGCCTGAGCAAAGCAAATACACAGATGGCAAAGAACCATATGGAGAGATGTTCAACATCATTATTCATTACAGAAATGCAAATTAAAACCACAGTAAGATACTATTATACTACACACCTATTAGAGTGGCTAAAATTGGAAAGACTGACCACGCCAAGTATTAGGGGAGATAGGGAACAAATGGAAGTTTCATTCACTGCTGGTGGAAATGTAAAATATCACAATCCCTTTGGGAGACAGTTTGGAAGTAACTTAAAAGTTAAGCGCACACATACTATAGGACCAAGCCATTCCTCTCCTAGATATTTACCCACAAGAAATGAAAACATGTCCTTACAAAGACTTCAAGGTAGCTTAATTTGTTGTTTTGTTTTGTTTTGTGTTTTGGCTGCGTTGGGTCTTCGTCGCTGCGTGCAGGCTTTCTCTAGTTGTGGCGAGTGGGGGCTACTTGTCGTTGCGGTGCATGGGCTTCTCATTGTGGTGGCTTCTCTTGTTGCAGAGCACTAGGCACGCGGGCTTTGGCAGTTGCAGCACATGGGCTCGGTAGTTGTGGCTCATGGACTCTAGAGCGCAGACTCAGTAGTTGTGACGCACAGGCTTAGCTGCTCCGTGGCATGTGGGATCTTCCCAGACCAGGGATTGAACCGGTGTCCCCTGCATTGGCAGGTAGATTCTTAACCACTGCGCCACCAGGGAAGTCCTCATAGTAGCTTAATTTGTGATGGCCCAAAATGGGAAATCACCCAAATGTCCATCAATAGGTGAATGGAGAATCAAACTGTGGTACATCTATCCATACAATGGAATACTACTCAGCAATAAAAATTAACTATTGATACATGCAACAACATGGAATAATGCTGAAATAACTGTGCTGAGTGAAAGAAGCCAGGCAATATAAAAATATATACTGCGTAATTCCACATAGAAGACATTCTAGAAAATACAAACTAATCGGTAGCAAACAGAAAGCGTATCAGGGGCTGCCTGGGGTGGAGGGGATGAGGGACAGGAAAGGGCGGGAGGGGCTGATTTCAAAGGAGCACTGAGACTCTTTAGGGGGCAATGAGTATGTCCATGATGTAGACTGTGGGGATCGTTTCATGGGTATACACAAATGTCAAAATGCATCAAATTGTGTATTTTAAACATGCAATTTATTGTTTATCAACAACACCTCAATAAAGCTGAGAAAACAGAGAGAAAGAGAAAACTACCAATGGCCTATAAAAGACAGGCACCTAATTCTGGATACCCCGAGTGTCTGCATTTTTGTCTCCATCCTCTCTCTCTCTGTCCAGGTGCCAGTGCTGGGTTTTCATCCACATCCTACTTTCATTAAGTGCAAAAGTGATAGGAAAGCTGTCTGTGGGGAATGAATTATGGACTTAAAAAGGAAGAAAATGAGGGCAAACAGAATCTTCCTTCTGTAATTTGAAACCCTGGCATAAGAAACACCTCTTGATGGTGAGATTCTAGGTGATTTTCTTTTGGTTACCTTAAAATTCTCTGTACTTTCCAAATTCTTTAAAACCATAATTTTGCTCTTTGGGGGAATAAAGTTTTAAAAGAGTGAGTCTAAATTCTCCATTAAGTAAAAAACTATTTGGGAATTCCCTGGTGGTCCAGTGGTTAGGACACGGCACCTTCACTGCCGAGGGCCCAGGTTCAATCCCCGGTCGGGGGACTTCCCTGGTGGTCCAGTGGCTAAGGCTCCACGCTCCCAGTGCAGGGGGCCCCGTTTGATCCCAGGTCAGGGAACTAGATCCCACATGCATGCTGCAACTAAGAGTTCGCATGCTTCAACTAAAGATCCCACATGCCACAACTAAAGAACCCGCACGCCGCAATGAAGATCAAAGATCCCGCGTGCTGCAATGAAGACTCGGCACAGCCAAATAAATAAATAAATAAATAAATCCCTGGTGGGGGAACTAAGATCCCACAAGCCACAAAAAAAAAAACAAAAAAGTAAAGGGCTATTCAAAAAGAAACCAAGGGGCTTTTTTTTCACCCTAATAATGAAGGACCAGCACCCTAACATACACACACACACATTAATGTAGATCAAAGAACAGGGAGATTTCACTTATCAAGGGTGAAGAGTATGTACAACACTATATGCAGAAGGTCAAAACCTCAAAAAACGGGTATGTTCTAAATTCTGAATTTCACTAGTTGACCACGGAGTTGGCTCTCACCTAATTAAAGACATAACGTGTGTTAACTAACTTCCTGCCCTCTGGGTTGAAAACCGAGCTCTCACACACTAAAGGGAAAGTCCTGCATGAATTTCCAGGAGGTGAGGACCAGTGACAAGAGGCTCCTCTCCGTTAATGCTTAAAGCCTGTAAATGAATCAAGCGTTCAACACAGGATGGATGCCAGGAGAAGTGGGATTCTTAGCCCTGCTTGTCCCAAGCTGTTGACAGTAGACATTTATGTCACATTTTTTAGTCACATTTTTTAGCAAGTGCAGAAAGCCAGCAGGGGCTTCAGAAGTGCCAAATGCTGATAAAATATGTTTCTTTTAAAATAATTCTACAGGTCAAATTATGTGCAAAATGTTTTTTATGCGACCTGAATGTAAATCTTTGTCTTCCTCCATGATTTCTAAAAGAAGAAACCAACTCCTTAGTGATGATCAAATTCTTGGCTTAAAGCTTCACTTTCATTTCAGAGAAAAAAAATGAAAGTAGGTTAGCATACCATAACACTATACACATAAAATAATACAGAACACTTACATGTCTTGGAGTGTTCGTGTGATAGCATGTAGTTGGCAAGTGGTGGTGTATAAGTTAAACACTGCAGCGCTGCGTTGGCAAAACAGGTATTGCCCAAATTCTGGAGCCCAGCTCCTACTCTATGAGTTTGCTGCCACTTAAGACAAATCTTCTCAGATGGGAAAAGAATTTTTTCTGGAGGAGCAATGCCATCACCTAGAGCTAGAAAAATAAACAAATATTTAAAAAGAAAGCTTTGTATACTTCCGAAGCCGAATAAATAGCAACACATCAAACCTGAATCTGATCAAGATTCTTATGACCAGCTAACCAGAAATACAGGGGAGAAAGGGACATTTTAAAAGAAAGAGCCCAGAATGTGGGAAACTCTATATGATTTGGTTTCTTTGATAAACAAACTGCAAGGACAAAAAAAGCGGGGGGCAGCATATAACAGATTAAAAAAAACTTAAAAGATATTCACCAAATGCAAAGCATAGACCTTGTTTGGAGGTTGATTTCAACAGCCAACTGTTAAAAAAAATTATACAACAACCAGGGAAATCTGCACATTGACTGGATTTTTAATATAAAAAGTTTTTAATTTTCAGACATGATTTCTTTAAATATACACACTGAACTATTTATAGATGAAGTATAAAGTCCTGGATTTGCTTTAAAATGATGGGGAGTGGGGAGAGGAGTAAGTGGGTGGAGGTATAATTGGCCAGGAGCTGATAAACATCGAAGCTGGCTGAGGGGCACGTGAGACTTCATTACAATTATTCTCTCTTCTGCACCTACTTAAAATTTTTCATTAAAATAATTTTAAAAATAAACAAAGTACAACACAGTAAAAGTGCAGGAAAGTCGATTCCCTGTAATATGTGCTGAGGATGCTCATGTTCTGTACCCCCAGCAGCACGTCATCCTCACCATCATCTCACCTCCTCAGTCCTCACTAGCTGTCGGATACTCTCAATTCTAAAGGTTGGTAGTGATGTCATCCCAAATTTACCAGCAGGGAAACAGGCTGTTAGGCATCACTATACATACTCATAAGTATAGTCTACATGGTCTAAAAATTTCTTATCTATTTTTAAAACTTACAAACAGATTGCTAATGATACTCAGGCGAGGCTCAAAAACAATTTATTTAGGAAAGGTCAAAAATCATCCACAGCAAGACTGTTTTTTCAAAAGTTCAGCAGTTCCTCAGTACTACCAAAGATTGAGATGCCCAATAGATGGTTCTCTACTTTAATAGCAATATTGAGTGTTTAAGCATGCAAAAAGGCAGGCTTCAGCTTCCCGAAGAAGGGAGATCAAAATCAGGAAAGGAGAAATGGATGTTCAAAGAGCGTGACAAGGGCCCCCAAAAGGGCCAGGTGGGGTGATACAAACTAAATGCTGAGGAAGAGAGAGGAGCCCCAGCAAGGTGACAGGAGGCTGGAGTCTGTGAGAGGATGTCCTGTGGGAATGCCCTGCTTATAAAGATCTTTAAACCCCTCTGTATAACATTCAGTTACGTTGTTTGATTTGTGATGTAAATGTCCCGTCACCCAAAACACCTTCAGCAAATCCTACCACCCACCTCCACATCACAATATCACACGCACTAGGAAGACTCAAAACAAAAAACAACGTGAGAGCCAAATTATTCTAGACCAAACAATGTTCTGTGTGGGAACTAATCTCTTAAGGTTTCAAAGCTTCCAAATCCGAAAGTCTCAGGAGTACCAACTAAAGTGTCAATGTCTTACTTATCAGCATGGGTTTTAACAAATATAACCACATTAACCTGGCTTTATACATAATGTAACATTTACAGGATCTGCTCGCTTTCAAAGAGCTTTATTTCTACAGACGATTTTAACTGGCAAAAACTAAACAAACAAAAACAAAGTTGGGTGGAGCTCATTTGTCAAAAGGCAACCATTTTTAAAAACATTAAAAAAAATCTTTAAATTTTTAAAAGGTAGACATTTACTTAGGGCACTATAGTTAACGGACAAGTTAATGAAATGCTTGCCCATCTCAATTCTCACCAAGACAAAGTTTATCCTTCAAAAAATTAGGAATTCAACTACAAATAAATTCATAGTAACTAAAAATAATCTTACCTTGCTATGATACATATGTTAATCATGAACAAGCAGCAGAGGAAAATGAAGCCTGTCAAATAATGTAACTCTGCTGGCCATTCAGGTGGCAGTGTATCTTGCAAAATAAGCCCCTCTCTGAAACTACCAACCCACTGACAGCATTTATACAGGAGTTTCTTGTAGTGATTCTTCTAGAAAGTAGTACCTTGATCCTTTGGTGGTGATGGTTTTGATTTTTCAGGTACAGGTGAACTTGAATAAACTACAGCACCAGGTACTGGTCCTAAAGAAAGCGCGTGACTTGAAACATCATTTAATGAAGACACAGTACCCCAGCTGGCAGAACCTGCCTCCATGTCTCCAGGTGAGACTGCCTCAGAACTGCCAGGCTGGTTCTGACAGGTTGATGGGTCTGAAGATTCTGAAGCTTTGTCACCTGTGGTCATTGTTCACCTCTGTAAAAGATGAGAAAAGCATACATTTGTTTCATAAGGTAAGAAGAGTAATCTACTTATTCTACCATTAGATCTTTGAAAACAATTAAAAACGGCTAGGTTAATTTTCCAACAAATCACCCCAACACAAAAGCAACACTATTTTTTAACTTTGTAATAATTTCCTTGGGATATTTACTGTTGTGCTAATCTGAACACGCCAACAATTTTTAATTATAAAATCTTCAATGAAGTATTTGATTAGATCTTGTCATTCTATCTCATGCCCTCTGAAAATCTGATATTTCGTTTTATAATCAGGTATCTCAATTTCCAACTCTATACATTCACAAAGTACCTATATTTTTTCTCTCCCTTGCTTAAACCTAGAATGTGAAATGCACTAACACATTTGGCTCAATTTTCAATTCATATATAATTCCTCAAGGAAAAGTCTCAACTACATGAAAAGAAAATCTAGCTTTAATTTGAAGCTTAAAGTCCAAAATGACATTGTTTGAAATATATTACTTTTTTTAATATAGGAAGTCTCACTTTTGAAACACATTTTGAAGAGGCTCATTTATTTCGCATATATGATTTTTTAAAATGAAGTCCATAAGGCATTACTTACATCAAACTGGAACACAAATACATGTTATAAAAGTACTTAATTATAATTTTCTCTCTGAACCCTATTAAAATCTTAGGGCCACCACTAACTGAGCACTTTCTATGTGCTAGGCATTGTGTCACCCACTGAACACACACTAACTTACTTAATTTTCATAATGACCTATGAGAGACTGGACAGAATCCACTGGGTCTACGAAATGGAGCAACTATTACCCAAACTAGTCACTACTGGGAAAAGGTCCCAAGCCCAACATTCCCGGCTGGGCTCTACCAAACTCCACAACACAGCACTTTAGGAACGTTTCCCATATTGTCTAGCGGCAACCAAATCTAGCAGAGGCCACTGCTCTGCAGACGATCTTCCAGGCGGCCCCGAGTGCCTCCGGCCCAGCATCCCGACACCCGGACTCTGGACACTGGCCGCCCTAGGAGCCTCTCCGTGCCCCTGGTCCTGTCCTGTCTTCTCTCTCCAGGCTCTGCACATGCTGTTCTTTCCCCAAACTTCCTCCACCCTTCCACCTCCAGCCAGTGAACACCTTCTCCGTTTAGAATTCATTTCCTCTGGGACACTTTCCTTGATAGTCCCCTCCCCCAAGACAGTCTGAGAACCCCTCCTGGAAGCTCTGGTGGCACCCTGGGCACCCTCGGGCTGATTTCCAGATTTCCACCTTAGCGCTCACAGCCATCCTGCCTGCGGCTCTCCATCATGTTCTTGTTTACATGCCCTGACCTGGCACAAGGAAAGCTCTCCACACATGTGTTGAACAAATGAATCAGTTGTGAAGACAGGACGTAACCAGTGTTTGCTCCTAGCACCAGTTTTCGCTGACTGTTTTATATAAAGTATCTCATTTAATCCTTAAAAATTCTGAAGTAGGAATAGCCTTTAAAACTTGTTTTAAAAAATATTCAGCACAGTAAAATAATTACCCATGTACGTGACACTTCAACAAATGTTACGATGCACTGTCTACTCACAATAAGGTTTGTTTAAAAGCCTCAATTCTGTTGTGATTTTAAATTAAAGATTTAAATTAAGATTATCACCCCCCAAAAAAGTACAAACTTAAATATTTTTGGAATCTTACGTAGAAATAGAGAAGAAGATGTTAATTAGATCTTAACAAAAAGAAAAACTGAACTGAAATTTTAAGTCAATCTAGGTAAAACACAGGACCTTTATTCAGGAAGAAAGCCTGAGCCATATTAGCCAAATAAAGTTTATACTTTCCTCATCTGACAGTCAAAAGAAATTACAAAACAGTGTGGAGGCAAGAATAAGACAAGGGGAAAAGAAGTAGAGGAGGAGGAAAAGGAAGAAGAAAGCCAAAACAGTGACGATTAAGCCAGCCTTATTTACAGTAATGTTAAATAGCAAAAACCTTGATTTTCTGGGATAAACATCCCTTCAGGACAATCATTAACAAATGACTAAATAAAACCATTTTACTTGCTCCGGTTGCGTGGGGGGGGAGCGGGGGGGGGGGGGGAACAACTCTTTAATTAAGAAAAAAAACCCAAGGAAAACATACAACGGAGTCATTGATAACCACATAGCATTATAATTTGGGAAAACCAACAACATCCATTCTCCTTCAGATGCATATTCAGCCAATGACTTCTTACCCTGAAACCATCAGGTATTAAGCTGGAGAAAACCTTTCTGGAAGCCAAACAATGTTGCGTAGGGCTCAGGATTCAGATGTTACATGTTCTTTACTCTCAGTAAAGCTTCTAAACATTACTGAAATAAATCTCAGGACTTTTAAGCAACTACTTCAATGAAAAGTTTAAATTTCTCTCAACACCTCCTGATGATAGACAAACAAAAAGTTACAAAAGCATGTTTGAAAAAAACTAAGTACAAAAATCAAGGTTGGATGTGTGTGGAGGAATGAGACAAAGTGACTTCTCAATTGTTTCCATTAAGTGTACCTGCTTTAATTACAATGTTTTACTTGAAAGTCTTAAAATGCTGTCCCTTATATGGTATTTCTCCCTTGTGGTGACCAAATGCTAGAATACATTATTCTTTTTCATTTTTAAAAAATAAGCATATGGCTATTTGAACATTATGGCACTCCACATACATTGTGGTAAAAATATAAATACATGCAAAAAGAAACTGTTATACCTGTACTTCTTAATAAACAATGTAACCCACATTCTTGTTGCATTTCCATTTGAAAACTCACAAGCTTTAAAAAGACAACTTGGATTTTACTTATTTGTAAGGAAACAAATCACTTTGCTTTAAACTTTTACAAAAAAAACTCTGTAGACTTAATTCAATGATACAGAAAAGAAGTGAAACTGACCCTAGATACAAATAAGTGAAACCGATTATTCACAACACCGATACACTTTGAATGAATAATACAATCAGAAGAGGAGAATTATGTTTCAAATGTACAAGTTAAAATTTGAGACTCCACTAAAACGTACAAGAACCTAAAATACTGCTGTTTTAGGGGCTAACTAGTTTTTCAACCAGTTTTACTGTTATTTGAGTGTATTTACTTTAAATAACCAACGTGTTTTCCCATAAACAAGTAAGCCCTAAGGCCTCCCGTAATATAAAAGAGCTATTCCACAAAAGTAATCTCAATTGCATTCATTACAGCGAGGTTAAAGTCCTAGATGGTAAAACTTCTGTCCCATCAAATCTTCATCTCAAACATCTGAAACTGACCGCCCTTTCCCCCCCACGCCCCCGCCTCAGGTAAGTTGGGTCTTCCTGCCCCGAAGATAAAGAACAGGACCAGGGCACACGCGCTTTGGGGGACGCGACGCCGGGCCGGCCGGCCCCTCCTCTCCTCCCGAGGGTGCCCGCTCCGCCCGGCGGCAGGCGTGGGGAACTCGGACACCCGGTGGACTAGCCAGGTGGACGGCCCCGCGAGGACGGACCGGCGCGGCGGGCGGGCCGGCGGGACGCCCGGGTGGGAAAGTTTGTCTCTTTGGGGGGCGCAGTGGGGGCAGGGAGGCGAGCCCGGGGCTCCGAGGGGCGGGAGGTGGCAGCCACGCGGGGGGCGGTGGGCGGCCCGGGGACTCCGGGCGGCTCAGCGGCCGGCACACGCCCACCCCGGGCAGACCCATGCGGGCCTGGCCGCCCCGGAGCAGCCAGCCGGGCCCAGCCCCCGGGCCGAGAGGGGCGGGCTGGGCCGGGTGGGGGTGGGAGGGCAGTGTCCATGGGCAACCAGGGGGGTCCGGCCTCCCCGCGCAGCCCGGCGATCTAGGAGCCCGGCCGCCGCGGCCGTTGCGGCCGCCGCCCCCTCCCCAGCGGCCAGGCCCGGCCGGCGGTGGCGGCACTGCCACCGGCGCGGCGGGGTCCCGGGCGGCCCGCCGCTGCGGAGGGGGCGGCGGGCGAGGG